GGTGAGCACTTTGTAGGAACGTGTCTTTTCCTGTCGGCTGCCTGTGAGCGGCTGCCCAAAACCACGACTGAGGTCAGGGAAGGACCTGCTGGGCAAACCTGCTCCCTGTTCCTGCTCGGAAAACCCAGCACCTCCCTCGCAGAGCCCTTAGTCCCCTGAAGAGTTGAGGATGTGCAGGATTCTAGTCTGTGATGAGCAACTCCCTCACTGCCCTGTGGGTGGGGGAATCCACCAAAATATGTCATGCTTTCACGGCCGGCGGACCGAAGCAACTGGCGTTTCTGTCGGTCCTAGATAAGCGGGAGGTCGCTGCTCCCTCTGCTCTGCCCGCTGCCTCCCTGTGCTGGCACTCCCGGGTCTGGCACAGCACCACCAGCCCTCAGAAATCTCTCTGAAGTGCAGGGAGAAGACAGTCATGACTCAGAAATGTCCTGGCAGAAATGTCCACGGGAAGCTTCGCTTTGGTTTTAAGAGAAAATAAGAGCGAAGGAGCTGCTTTGGCAAAACTGATTGCTGCAGAAGCGGGGGGAGAGGCGCAGCCCTCTTCCAGGCGGGGACTCCGGCAGCCGGGTGGCACATGGTGTGTCGAGGCCAGATGAAATAGGGAGGCAGTTCTTGAGGGTGCACCTGCCTGACTTTTTCATCTGCTTGGCAAGACAAGATGTAAGATATGGGAGCTACGTGCGAGGCAAGGAAGTGGGGTGGGATGGCAGAGCTCCCACCTCCAGCACTGACATTCTCTTTGGTGAAGGGAAAACAGTCTCACAGCAGCAAGGATGCACTGAAAAGGTCATTTCTATTGTGGTGGCTGCTGCTATTGCAAAAGATGGTGAGCCCCTGGCTCCTCCCTCCGGCATGAGATACAGGCAAGATGACCTCGCCGTGGAGGGAGAGGAGAGAGCTTGAAAGGTCGGAGAATAAACCAAGCATTAAAATTGCAGGCAAGTCCAGGCTGGTTTCTTGAAGGACACTAGAGACACTGCTGCTTGACTGAGCACAGTAGACACTCCCAGAGCTGATCTCCTGATACCAACAAGATCTTTCAATATTGCCCTTCGCTTCTGCAGTGGGCTGAAAACATCTATCTTCTGAAATATTTATCTCATCCACTTCTTCCAGTAGAGATCAAAAGGAGTGTGAAATGCACCTATAACCTGATGGCTCATCTGGCACCTTCGGTGACTTTTAGCAGGGGGAGGTGCCAAATCACATTTACGTCTCCAAGCCCAAGCTCTAAAGGATCAGACACCGATTGTCACAGATAATAGGCAAAGGGCACTCGCTGGTAGAGGTGACAGGCACCTCGTGTTACCTACAGCATGAGTGCCTAACTCTCCTGGGAAGACGCTTGGCACGAGTTTTTGAACACCAGGATAGAGGCATTGAGATATACTCTGCGTCCCTCGGAGTGGGAAAACAGGCGCTTGGTGCCACCGTGCCTTTCCCAGCTCAAGCGGGTCAGGGACAGCCAGGAGGCTACTTGTCCCACCGGGGTTTTAGCTGCACATGGCTAACCTCTGGACTGGGACACTGGGAGTGCAGAGCATTACCTACCATTCCCGCTTCTTGCAACATCTAGGTCTGATTCCTTTCTGGATCGTATCTGGTATTACAGCTTGCACCCAAAACACTCCTAAACGAGTTGTCTGCCCAGCAGCTTTCCTGCAGCCTCCCATCAGTGCCATGCCTGCCCTTTTGCGGTTCAGGAAAACTGATGGTAGTCTGTGACTGTAGCCTAACAGTCCACAAGCAGCAGAACAAGTTGGCTTCCTGCAAAAACCATGCAGAGAGCCTTCAAGCAACAGTAGCAGGAGAGGACACACAAGTCTCTTCCCAGCAGCGATTTAGCAGCTATAAGTTCACGGTGAAGTTCTCCAGCCCAGCCTCAACTGACTGAGCTTCCTCATTCCTCTCAAGGCACCCAAGCAGTGAGCAGCACCCTCGTTGCAGCAAACGTTTGCAGCTTTGGCTTGTGGGGAGCAGCTGAGAACAAAACCACTTCCCCAGGGAAGATGAGGTCCCCAAAGCAAGGGCATTGCTTAGAAAAGATCCGGCTGACATGGGTACATGCAGACTCCCCACATCCCAGCACAGAGCCTTGCCCCATCCAAACCTCCCTGGAGGGGCTAATGTCATCAAAGGTGTCTTCAACGTTATGGTTTCTGGCCAGAAACCCTCCCAGTTCCAGTGAGATCTTCAGGCCAACTTTGCAATCCCTGAGATATTGAGACAAACCAGAACAGCTTTCCCAACCATTTTGCCCAGTATCAAATTCAGTGACTTTTGGCACAATCATTTATTAAGGGCCAGCACTGCACCTGGGAGTACTGTACATGGCTGGGAGGGAAATTAACTGTTTCCTGCACCTGCAAAGTGAGGGGAAAATTCAAACCAAGCCAGAAGTCAGCAATGACCATTTGGGATTTAGCCATGTCCCTTACCCTGGGGACTTCACTCTGCATGAGGAATTAGGCAGGAAGAGCCAGAGCCCCCTGAGACAGGAGCTGGCAGTCCCAGAGACCCCTTCCTTTCAGCAAACCTGTCTGCTGCCCTCCTCTGACCTTCTTCTGCTTTGCTCAGCTCCGTGTGACAGTCCCCCAGGAAAGCCCCGCATAATGAAATTGCCTGATTCCTCCAGCTGTTCCCCCATTACCCACCTGCCATGCCAAGGCTGCTGTATTTCCACCCGCCACTGAGAACACGGAGAGAGCTTAATGGATTATGGCTGGATAAACAGTAAAACTGAGCATATGCGAACACTTCAGCTTCCCCTGTGCCTGCCGTGCTCCTGCTCGTTGGAGGGAGCGAGATCTGCTGGGCAAATCTTCCAGGGCCTAAGGCTGCAGTGCCAGGCGTTCCTGGATGCAGCTCAGACTGGAGAGCCTGGCTACGTCGAGGGGGAGTGGGGAGAGCAGAGGTGATGAGGATCGATGGACCGAACCCGGGAGCTGCTGCTGTGTATTGGCTTGTGCTCACTGATTTGTTCAGGGACCCCGGGAGGAGCTGGCTGGAGGGCTGGCAAGAGCGGGGTTCTGCTCGAGTCCTGAGTGCTTCTGAGACAGGAGCGAGGACAGGGTTCTCTGGGTCAGGCTGTAAACGACACGGGACAGCCAAGATGTGTCTCAGAGGGGTAAGCATGGGGACTGAGCCAAAGAAGAGGAGAAGCAGCCCATCTCCCTGCATACTCTGTCCTCCAGGGCTCCTCAACCGGCACAACAACGCCTACCTTTTTGTATCAACAGACACATAATGGATTGATTTCTCATTCTTTAAAACTCAGTACTCATTCAACAGTTTCACACACGAAGAAGGTAGACACAGGAATTTACACAAAAGTATTAAATGAGATAGATCTTTATTAGAAGCTTCCAGCATATTTTATCTGTTCTCCTCCTCCACAAAACTTCTCTTACTGGATACACAGCTACTATAGTCCATATAGAGCCTGTACATCTCTCTCTCTCTCTCTTTACTGCTACATATCTCACTGTACAATTGTACAGTGTGCTCTCTTATCAGCAATAATACACGGTCTTCAGTACAACCCTACACACATTAAATTTGCATGGCACTCTGCATTACAAGGAAAGAGCTAAACCTCTCCTCTCTGGTTTCATAAGACAAACATTGCCACAGACTGTTCTGTAAAGCTCACAGGCAGATCCGCACAGGTATTCTGGGCAGATTTCCCCCAGTACCTTTGTGGATCAGGTCCCTAAGTGCTTAACAAATCTCACATTCGTGATGTTATCAGACTTGGGAGTGAAGAAAAGCCCTCATGAATAATGCCCTTGAGTGATCAGGAAGGCACTAGAGACAGGGAAGAAACTGAACCACCTCCTTTTCATTTTTCCCCCCACCTCTGTTCTGGGTCCTCTCCAGCCCCACAAGGTTACACGCTCAGCCACGGCACCTCCGCACCCGACATCTCCTCCCAGCCAGCTTTATGTCCTTAGGATAGGAGGCAGCAGAGGGACCAAGTGATGTATCTGGATCCTTCATCTGGTGATTCTCAGAGCCAAACATGTATATGTGCCTTTTCCTCCCCTCCAACATGCTCCTGAACTCATCAGGGCTCTTTTCTGAGGCTTCCCTGAGCTCAGCCCCTTTCCCTGCTGCCCCTGCAGCCCCTTTCCGTCCTGCGCAGCCTCCTTTCCCGGCTGCCCCTTTCCCTGGCTCTGGCTGCGTGACACCTGCCCGTCCTCTGCTTACGGGAGTGAGATGTGTCCTTGCAGTGGGTGCTCCTCACCCACAGGAACAGACGCCGCATCCGCAGCTCTGGCTCAGCAGGGCCGAGGCGGCCACATGCAACAGAAACCCTATCTCAGCCTCTTGAACTGTTAGACCGAGACGTGACTTCTTGGAGTGAAATCCAAGAGGGTGAGTCCTCCTGCAGTGAGCCAAACCAGTCATGGGAGACCTAGGCCTTGCCAAGCGAGCGGCCCCTCCATCCCCCTTCAGCTGCTGCCCAGCTAGCCGCACGCAGCCAGCACATGCCTAGCAAAGCACCATGTTTGGACAGACACAGCTCTTCCCCAAAGCTCTCTCCTCTCTTCCTTCACAGATACCCCAACCCCTTCATAGGAACGAAGCACTTTCCTGGTTTCTTTTGCTCTCTCCTCCCTCCACTACCTCAGTGCCTTCCTTTGCCACCAGGTGACTTCAGCAGGGAGGACGGACAAGCAGTGCCCTGGAACAGACACTGTGACTACTCCTAGGAGATAGGACAAGTATGCAAGAAGTGTGCAAAGAAAGAACAGAGCCAGCCCACGCCAGGCTCCTCTTCTGTCCAGTATAGGTACAAACTGCCTACCGTATTGCAAATGGCTGTCACTGGAAGGATCCTGCTTCCTGTGACATCCTGTCCCGTTTAGGGATGGGTCCAGAGAAGTCTTGGTGCTGGGATCCAGGCCTCTCACACTGCCCAAGAACAAAGTCCCCAGCCTCTGCCTCCACCATCCTCGCCTGTCCTCGGGAAGAACCTCTGGTGTGCGCTGAGCCTAGGTCCGGGGGTGTCCTTCTCTGACCTGCCTTCGGAAGTAGCGGATGGCAGAAAGCGTGCCAAAACTTGCCAGGAACACTGGAAAAGAGCCCAACACATTTCCAGAGTGAGTCTGGGTGCTTCTTCCAAACCTGAAGATCACAAGCTACTTGGCTCACTCTGGTCCATGGGTCCAGGGGGGTGGCTCCCTTCCCTTTCTCACACCCCTCCTGCCTTTGCTCTTCATCCCTACCACACTGTGCTTGTTCCTAGTGCGTTCAGTCCTGAGCTGCCCACAGCCTGGATGACCACATCTAGTCCTATAGTTCAGGCACACGGATCACACCACCATTTCACAAGAAACGTCTGTTTTTAAGGGAAACACAACATAGACTTCATGCGTGTGGTAGAGATGGGTGGTGGTTAGATATATGGGTTCATGTGGAGATCTAACAGGTCTAATCTCAGATGAGAAGGCCACAGCAGGAAATCTCACCAGGGCTTTAGGACAGTCCCTTCATTTTCTACTTCTGTTTGGACCAGGAAGATGCCAAGAAAAATATCATTTTGTGGGTTATCTGTGGATACTCTGATCCCAGCCAAAAGCAGAACCCAGAATCAGAAAATGTAGAGATACAAAAAATAACTAATGGAGATTATACACAGAATCAAGCTCTTCTCTGTACTTTCAGCTCATGTTTTTAGCTTGGCTTATAAGAGAGGTCAAATTCCCCTCATCTGTTCCCAAGCAAAACTGGGAACCCAAGCCATGCCTTCGGACTTCAAATTCAGACTTGATTTTGATTTATGTGTTAGAGTCTGGAACATAGGCAGGAAAATTCAACTTCTTAGAACCTAAAATGCCAAAAGAGAATTGCTAGTCCAGGACTCTTGCCTCCTCTCCTCGCCGGGGTGCTTACTGCATGCTGGGTTATGCAATCCCGAGGGCACGAGGCCCATATCCCGCTTTTCACACCCTCTCTGAGACCACATCTACCATCCAATACTAAGAAGGCAAGGAGGAGCAGGCCAAAAGCTCCTTGTGATGATTGCACTGAGCAACTTTAGCTAATGAGCTATTCTCAGCCTGGGGTGTCAGCTTCCTGTGTGACCTTAGCGGGGAACATTCCTCACCCAGACAAGCAGCAGGAAGCCCTGGTCCCGGCGTCTCGCCCCGCGGCGAGGGCTCTCCGGGGTCCACGGGCTGGACTCAGCTGCTGCAGCCGGGGCAGGGCTGCTGCCCTCGCTGTCCCATGCCCTGCTCATCCAGCGACCCGCAGCCCTTGGGCCACAGCTCAGCTAATTCGTGCTGCCCGAGCTTCCTCTCTCCCCACCAGTTACTCAAACGCTGTGGTTGGAGAGGAGAGGAACTGACAGAGCTCCGTTTACTTGTAGGACTCGGTGCACCAGGATAATACTGTATTTAGAAAAGGGATTATACCTTTACAGTATGTTAGAAAAATACATGCATTTGTTCCAGCTGAGGTGAAGGAGTATAAACCTGCAAACTCGAGGTCCTGATTCAGCTTCTAGCCAGCACGGATCCTAAAGAAGCCTCTCTTCCCCTGACACACTGGTACTGGTCCCTGTCAAAGGCTGGATGGAGTAGGGCCAAAGCTAGGAATACAGACTTGTCCTACAGCTTAGTTCAAGTCAGCAGTCACTTTGTGTGGGGAAAGGACAATGTAAATGAGTAAGAATCAGGACTGCCATTTCTATAGGAGAGAGAAGGTATTAGAAAGTAACAGGACACTTTGGAAAAGCAGGAAAATGACTGCATTTTCCCACAGGCACTGTTAGGTGTCTTAGCATCCCTGCCTTTCTCCCTGCCACGTCTTCCACGAGGTCCTTCCCACCCCTCTCCCGCCAGGCTGGGCACTGTACGTACTGGTCTTCCAGGCATCCGGAGCCTGCAGGTCGGAGGTCTTCACTGCCCAGGACGCAAAGGCACAGAAGACGAGGCACATATCTTTGTGGGTCAGCGCCAGCGGAGCCTCGGGCCTCCCTGCAAGAAGAAGAGCACGAGGCTTGGGGTTTTACACCGCTTCCTCTGCCACAGCAGGCTCCAGTCCCTCTGGGGCAGTGAGTCCCTTGCACTCCCAGACAAATACATCTTTGTCACATATTTTCTCTCCCTGAAGACCTTTTTGCACCATGGGTCGAGTCAAACATGTCTATTTAGGACTCAGGTACGTTTCCTAAGGAGAGGGGCACATTTTTCACCCCTCTCAGTTTTACACTTTGTTAAGAGCCCAAGGCAAATATTTGTTAATGCTGCCCATGGGCCTGGGAGGCACAGCCAGCGGACATGCCGCCTCCAGGACCTCCGACTGCCTCACCACCTCCCTGCATTTCTTCCCAGCGCACCCCTGCGGGGTGGCTGGAAGCAGGGAGTAGATTTAAGAGAGAGCAATTCCTGGGCTGGCTGCCGAAGCACTGGGGTTGCAGGCAGGTCCCTCTGGGCAGAGTCCCTTTCCTGCAAGACAATGTCCTGAGACGCCCACAGCTCTAGGACAACACATCTCCCCGAGAAGCACCAGTGCCCAGCATCTCTCCGCAGATCCTATCTCACTCCCGCCGCCTGCTAGGTCCAGGGAGGGAGACAGTCATGAGTGCTCTGCATTTCTTTCTCTGCTGGAGTTCCAGTCCAGCACAACTTGAAGACGTGTTGCAAGAGTAGGTTATTTTTTCTCCTATGTTTATTTGATCAGGCTTTTCATTAAAGCTGGCTTATTAATTAGCTACGACAATGGCAAAGGGGTTTTTCCTCTGTGCAAACAGATTGGAAGTTCTATTTTGAGGCACCCTTTGGGATGACTCATTCATTGTTTGGTTTTAATATTAACTGTGAGGCACTGTGGCTGTAAGCATCATAGAAGCTTTAAGATAAATATGCTGGCTGTCCTAGCGGGTCAGACTTGCTCTCCCTTTATTCTTGTTTCTCTTACCTGCCTCCAGTAACAGCCAATGTTCAGGTAACATCTGAGGTCTCTGGAGGGTGTTTTTCAAATTAGAGTGTGTTTTAAAGCCCCCCCCCCCGCCCCCCCTTTCAGCTGGAAGAATTGGACATGTTCCACTCTATGCACAGCTTTTACCCCACCAATATTAGATCGATTAGCAGTCCAGCCTTAACAGGACAGCAGCTCAGCAGCCATTGCCTTATCTCAGGGGCATGACTTCTTTGGTACAGAAGGATTTTGCTCCTTTGCCTCCCATTCCCTCATCAGAAATACAGGTATGTGGTTCTGCAGGCAGTTGGATGGCACTGGGATGGGGGATTCCTATCTCTACCAGACCTTGCAATAACACCAGCCATGTTTAAAGCAGCTATCCGCTTCAGTAAGTTTTTCTTGGCCAGAGTGCAAAAGGATAGATCAATTCCACGGCAAGTTATATCCATCAGGGCGACAACTGGATCAGCTAGGACGGGATCTTTGGGCCAGACAGTTTCAGCCTGTTGCATGCATGCCGTCATGACCACCTCTGCCCCAGGACTGGAGTTTGCGGGGAGCAAAGCAAGTTATGCACAGAATATACCCAGATCCCCTGTACATGTCTCCTGCAGCGCTGGGAGCCAGCCTGCGGGGCCTGGCCAGCAGCACTCGCTTGGCAGCATGAGCATCACAAGAGAGAGCCAACGCGACACAGCATGTCACGGTGGTGGCTTTAGCCACGCTTCCAAAGATCCCTGCTAAAACCCAGGGCTGCTATGTGGCAAGGTAACGCGCCAGGAGTGTGATTTCAGACCAGCTACGCCTGGCGGAGCCCACCAAAATGCTCCCATCTGTACGGTGGCCTTAATGCCGCCGTGGCTGGAGTGGAGGTGGCTGCAGCAGGGCCAGAGCTGGCTGCCAGGCTTCCCAAGGGGCGGTGGGAGCAGAGGAGACCACACAAGGCAGAGGCACGTCTCTACGGGCAGCAGCGAGCTGGGGCTGTCGGGCAGCGGGCAGGGGGTAACAGTGCTTTACCTGTCAGTGCAAGGGCCATGTCCAAACCTTCTGGCCGTGCCTGGCCTCTTCCCAGCGGAGCCAGCGGGACGATGGGGAGCCTCTCTCCAGATCCTCTCCGCACGAGAGCCTGGGAGGCTGGGGCTTGGCCTCTGATGAGATGCATTGGCCTTTGCAGAAGGGACTTCAAAGCCCTCACAGCTTTCTTCACCTCGGAGGCTGGAGTGACTGAGAAAACCCCTCGCCAGCCCGCCCTGTTCCCAGGCCCGTCTGGAAAGAAGTGTTCATACACCTCAGGGACCGAGACAACCAGGGAGTCTTTGACTAGGGCCAAGCCAGGATCCTCATTTTGCAGCTGAGCGTGGTCCAAGCTGCTGAACTTCTTTCGCTTCCTGTCTTTCCCCTTGACTTTTTTCCTGTTTCCTTCTGGTTCATTGAAAAAATATTCATACAGTTCAGGCAAGGATACTTCCCTTTCCAAGAGTGTTTTCTCCCCCTCCATTGAGTTTCCCATTCCTTCTTCTTCCCCTTGGGAGTCACAGAACAAATATTCGTACATCTCGGGCCAAGTCACGTCCAGGGTGTCTGCCCTTGCAGAGGCCCCGGCTGCAAAGCAAGGGGGACCCAGCTTCCTGGGGGTCTCAGCTGCAGGCTCCCGATGAGCTCCTTCAGCAGCATCCCCTCCAGAAGCCACCACGCTCTTGGGATGGAGAGGCTTCCCTGGCACCTCCGGGCATGCCTCTCCCAGAGGAGCCGTGGCTCCGCTGGCAGGGATCACCGGCACATTGTCACGTACGCCCAAGCCACCAGCCTGTCCTGGCTTTGACTGCTTGGTGGCCTTCGCCTTCCCCAGGAGCTGTGCCCCCGGCTCCTTCACCTTCTGCTTCGGGGGAGCGCTCATGGCTGGATTGCCCTCATCTGTGCCAGGGCCAGGCACCAGACGTTTGCTCTCCCCTGCCTCCTCGCTCCCCAGCTTCACAGGAGCTGGCTTGGCTGCCTTCTCCTTCCCTTTGCTCTTTCGTGAGGACAGCGGTGAGCTTAAAGGTGCCTTCACGGGTATACCAGTCCCCTGTGCTGCAGCCCCCGCAGGCTCCCTATCCCCCTGGGCTGCCTCGATGGCACCGGCTCCACGTTGCTTGCGGCTCTTTCTCAGCTGTCCTGGCACCTTGGGCCTCACAACCTCCGGGGAGCCAGCCGGGGAGCTCGCCTTGGGGCCCGCTCTCTCCCCACTCGCCTCCTCCTGCGCTGGGCAGCTGGGCGCTCTGGGCGCAGTCTCCAGGGCTGGGCTCGGGGGGTGGTCACTCGGGGGTTTCTGTAGCCTGGGCTCCGAGAGGGAAGCACTGCTAGGACTTTTCCTTGCTGAACCCTCCGGGGAGACAGCCAGTGTTGGCGAGCTGCCCTGCACCGGAGCCCCCGGCTGTGCTGCCACCGGGCTGCCATGGGGCTGTGCCCTTCTTGCG